CCCGTGATCACTCCATACAGCCCCCCTCAGCCCCAAATTGCCCTACCACACCCCCAAGCCCGGCCCCTCACCGCCTCTCCCCGCCCCCCGCCCGCTCGGCCCGTAGCGGCCGCAGCCCCGGGCCCGCCGCCGTCGCCCGTCGCCATGGCCGCGCGTCGCCCCGCCCCTCCGCCAATAGCAGCGCTCTTCGCCCTGCCCCTCCACCAATGGCAGCGAGCAGAGAAGAGAGCAACCAATGAGGAGCAGGAGGGGGCGTGTCCTACCCTGCGCATGCGGGGTAACGAGACATTGTGCGCAGGCAAAACGCTCCGGGCTGCTGCTGTGACCGCGCTGAATAGGGCCGGGCTACGTAGTGCCCTAGGCAGCCTCCTGCATTGCTTTAGACATACATATATATAATTATATATACACACACACATATATATAATTTCTGTATTTTTTTTTCTGTGTGTCCTGGGCAGCCTCCTGCGTTCTATTATATATATTATATGATTATAATATATTAACTATAAATTATATATATATAATTTTTTTTAATTGCCCTAAAACCAGGAGAATTTTTTTCCTCTCTTCGCAGGGAATGTTTCCTATTTGTTCCCACCCCCATAAAGTAATGACACAAGGCACTGCCTCAGTTCAACTAGGCTTTCCTTTATTAAGTCCAACTCAACATCACTTACATCGCAATTCAATAAAGTTATTTGAAATAAGGTGATACTTGAACTTTTCTGACTTGAGGCGACTGTATACAATCGGGCAGCATTGGCAGAATGCTCCAGTAATGCACCTGGAATAGAACAGTAGAATACCTATTAGAGCAGCACCCCATAGTTCCCACACCTGCTATCTCCTGAGCCAACAAACTGCCTTATGTAACGTCCATTCCATGAGAAGTTTTATTTGGGCTTTACTTCAGTCCAGGTCTTTCCACTTAGACCATGATCAAGCTTCAATCAAATCTCATCCTTTAAAGAATTTGATTTACACAGATAAGTATTTCAGCTAGGGATCTGTGGAGAACAGATTTTTGACACAAAGGCATACCTATTTCATACATATTTTAGTGTCACTAAAGTAATGTATTTCCTTTGTGGCCAAGTCTGGCAGGGGCAAGTGCTGCAAGTGAAGTAAGAGAATCTCTTACCAACAAGGTTTATGCTTTGTCCAGGCCCAGTTCCTCTGGAGTGGAGATTCCTAGTTCACTCAAAGTTGGTCTAAGTTCCTGGATAACATAGGGATAGATTTCCTTGTGCGGGCCTGCCTTGTCCTAAAAGGGAAAGAATGATGTTAACCAGAGAGCAAGTCGTTGTGAAGTCCACCATGTAGAAGACATTTTCACAAAGTAGTCTGTGGCCTGAACCACCACTTGCAATACACAAAGCTACAAGCCTTGTCAAGCTCCTAAAACAAGGGATGGTTTGTAAACCAGCCCACAAATCACTTGCAAATCAGGAAACAGATTGGAATATCATCCAGTTTGTACCTCCAGTCTTGCAGAGCACTGTTGTTTGAAACAAGTGGATTTGGCAGCTAGCAGCAAAGTCCTCTAGGACTGTCCTTGCCACCTGGCTCAGCAGAACACAGTTGCTGGCTTCTAAGACAATGAAAAAGACCTCTGCCTCCATCCCCACCCATTCCCACTTCCTGTTAAGGAATTAAGCCAACCCTAGGCTCAGGTTTCAAGGTGCTGGTTTACGTTGTTTTTCTAACCATGCAACTTCCTGAATGGTAATCCCAGCCAGCTCAGTATTTAGGACTGCACAAAGGTAGTTACCTTTGCTGAGGTACATCTAGCAGCACTTATTAAAAGGAAAAAATAGTCCTTAAAGACTTTCCCACTAACATCAGCATCAGAAAATGAAAATGCAGAAGTAAGAATGTCACACTTGTGAAAGTGTGCTGTTACTTTTACCTCCAAGCCACTCATGTTTCAAGCCACCAAGCATGCGATCGCAGTGAACCTACTGATTTTGTTAGAAAGGTAGGTTTCCCTTTGCGTCACTAACACTAAGCTAAGAGAAACTCCTGCTGCTGGGCTTTTGGTGATGCAGAGCAGCAGTCAGAGCCTAAGGCACCATCCCACTCACCTTCACCACCTCCAGGATGCGGACTGCGCTGGCAAAGTCATTTAACCGTCTGCACGCCCTCAGAGCTGCATCGATGATTTTTGGTTCCGGAACCAAGTCATAACCCACGAGTGTGTTTACACCTGTGGATATAAAGGAACAGCAGGAGCAACTTGGCATCGACTCATCATGCTGTCAAAAGGAAGCCACTAAGTATTATTTTGCTTCATGGAAGAATTATTAACATAGCAGCAATCGTCAGTAGCATCCAATTACAACTCTCACTGCTACTTTGAACCCCTCCACCCTCAAGGGCTTTCTTTTTCTCTCCTTCCCTCTCACTACTAGAGCCACAGCCATGTCTTAAAAGGGTTTTATGAAATCCCAGCGGGCCAGGATCATCCATGCTCTCAAAAAAAAAGTGTATACACTATGGCAAGTGAGCTGTGCAATCATTAAGAAATCCAAATGTCTTAGTTCCAAGTGGAATGAAAGCAGTCATTCCCTTCCTCTCCTTTCAAAGGCAAGAGCCTAACCTGGCTATCCGAGTCATGCAGCAACGAGCCCCATGGCTGTTACGCAAAGATTTTTACAAGCCCTAATTGAAGCAGTTTAATAGTAGCTGGCAACTCCAACAAGTAACACATGAAGGCAACCAAACAAATGGTCTGCAGCA